CCTACTCTCTTCTTTCCCTTCTTCCCCCTCCTCGTTTTTCTTTTAGAATTTATTTTTTCAAATTTCTTTTTAACCACTAATAATGAAAATGGAGGGGAAAAAACATGATTGTGCCAAACTGTTGCCGAGCCTGAATTTCACTGCGCACCGAAAGTTGCCGAGCCTGGGTCCCATTGTGTTTTCTTGCCTGCTTCTCTTCAGAAATTGGGGAGGGGGGAGAACAACGAAAAAAAAAAAACAAAAAAAAAAAACGATAGGGGCGTGAAAGCAGCCGGATGCAGATTCTGGGGAACATCTGAGAGTATGCACTCGCAACGGGCGTCGCAGCCCTGCTGAAATCACGGCAGCAGGAAGAGAAAAAACGGGGAAAAGTAAAAAAGCGACAACTCTTTGGACGTGAAAGCAGCTAGATACAGAATCTGGAGTGTCTGGGACAGTATGCCCTCCGAACAGGCGTTGCAGCCCTGCTGTAATCACGACAGCAGAAATAAAAAGAAGAACAAAAAAGAAAAGGCCTGCGCTATCACGCCTGAACTCTCCCCATCTCTCAAAAAACTTTTTCTTCCTCCTCCTCCTCCTCAACTCCGCAACCCCCTGCCCAGCAGTCGCATATCGCACAACCCAACACAACTTGCGCCCCTTGCATCCAACGACTCACAAAGCAGGCGTTCACATCACACGCCTCAGAATCGCCCACCCACTGGTTTCGCGCTCGTGACCAGCAACCGTCGCCAAGAATTTTCCTGACGGCCGACGACCAACAACCCCAGTTGAGGTCAAAAGCACAGCCAGCGGCCGATAGACCTTAGTATGTTGGAGGGATATCTTAAAACTTCACAAGAATAATGAGAAAAGTATAAYGACAAACAACTTGAACATAAAACAAAAATAAAAAACGCTATCCTCTCTATCAGTTTCTGTTCTTACCACTAGCCGGGAGACAAGCAACACTACCATGGGCATGCATGSAATAGAAATCGTTAAATCATCAACAACAAGAAAGAAAAGAGTGGATTACAAACTTTTTTGCATTGATAAATGACAGAAAAATTTGGATTGATATATTTGTGTCTTCTACGAACCTGATTCCTTGAAGCCTTCTCCA